TATCTTTGAAAACATAATGTAAAAAGTCCTGGTGTCTATTATACAAATTATACATTTTCATAACAATTAAATGCGTGAAGCATACGGAAGGTGTATTTCTATGATATCTAGCATTGAAATCAATACTTGCAGATGATTGTTATATGATCAGTATGAAGAAACGTGGGAACAACGAGAATAAAGATAGTAAGAATGGAGGTTGTCAGAATGGAGGCAAAGCAACGGAGAACTCAGATTCGGGAAATCTGAGCGATGACGAGAATCAAGGCTTCGGAAATTGGCTTCGATCCAGCACCGGTGCCGAAATGATGCGACTCTTCGTGATCACGAATTCGATTTTGGTCTTCGTGACTATGGCTTGGCCGAACATGAAAGAATCCTTCTACATCATCAAAGACTATTTCATGGGAGAAGAAGATTAAAAGAAGATTAAATGATTAAATGATATCAATCGAGAAATAGAATAAATAACGTTGTCATTTAATCTGTTTTAAATAAGCATGGCAATATTATTCTCAATTGTAGAATTGTTAAACATATCTGTTAACATCAGTGTTTTATCTTTATCTCTCATATCACTGATTAATCTCGAGTGATATATCTTAAATTAGGCGTTAATATCAAAACAAATGGGCACTGATAATAGAGAATAGATAGGTATTAACTTTACAGAAATTGTTATTGATTGTTATTATACGCTAACTGTTGTTTATTAATTATATAAGTTATATAAAAAATATTCAATTGTTTGATCGTAAGTGCGTTTTAAAATCAGTGAGAGATAAATAGGTACTTAAATCTAGATAGATCTAGGAAGATAAACGAGAAACAATCGTCGACTTTCACAAGATTTAATATTCTTACAAATGCCACAAAATGGGTAAACAGAACTGTGACAGAACTTCTTTTTCGCGCAGCGTTTGAAAGTCAGATTTGTGCAGATCGCGATATTTGTATAAGATAAAACTCTTCCCTATATTTTTCTTGCCAGAAGTTCGTTATTTTGAAGGAGTAAACTTTCATAGATCCATCAGTCGTATAACTTTTAGCAGAACTGACAAATAAGTCAGTTATTAAATCGGACTGTTTTAATTCTCAGTTAGATTAAAACAGTTTTAATGATAATTTACAGTAGCACTTATAATTATCTTGACAAAAACTGTATAAAAGGCTTTTATAATATCAATATTTGGTAACAAGAAATTAAAAATGCATAATTTATAAAAAAGAAAGATTACGAAGTGCAAATATAATTTAATGAGAAGTATTTTGACATAATTGAATAATTTTCAAATAAATAAATATCGAAATGCTTATGAGCCAAGTGAATTATAAAAACTTCAAATCAGAATGTATAAGATCTTGAAATTTTATATCAAATTTACTCTTAGCATATGTCTCTCATCAATAATAATAGAAGACTGTTAGTTATGTTTATATTCTCAACTTTGACTTACTTGTGCCTTGGAAATTCAAAATATTTATAAGCACTACTCCAAAAACCGTACGTCTCAAACAGAGAGATCAGTCTTCTATCAATGTATCGGCTTGATCATATTAACCGTTAAACTTGTATAAGTAATAGTATATTTAGGATACACACATTTATACTGCAATATTCTACATGGAATGTTGTAATATCGCATCGCAATAATTAACCGCAAGGCCTTGTCATGTTGACGTTCGTTATTCGTGGGGTGTTTCTGGTCAGCATATTGGGCTGGTATAGCGCCATCGTCTGGAAGATAATCGACGGTTACTTCCAAGACGAGTTTCGCGCTTACTTGCAGGAAGAGTATCGCAAGCATCCGCGGATCAAGGCCGACGTCGAGAGCGCCGGGGCTGTCGATAAGGGGCCGGTTTCGAGCGCGTTGCCAGCCGAGCCGAGTTTGAGCCACGGCATCGTGGAGACCTACGGTTCCAACGCGGCATGCCCGGCCGACATCGCAGACGCCTGTCCGCGCGCGATCGTTTCGAACGGGAAGAAACCGGAGGAAGCGGTGGCAGGTGGCACCAGCGAAATCGCGGTCGCCGTCGGCGCCGGTACCACCGAGAAAAATGCATTCCCGGCGAACGCGGCCCGATCGGCGCAGGAAAGTAGGAAATCTCCTCCGAGCGGCAGCGACACGCGCGATAAAGAACAGCGACCGGGTGCCATCAATCAGGACGCTGACCGCGAAGAGGCTCCGATCGAGGGAAGCGTACTTCCGCACCCCGCGTCCACGCGTCGTGTCGAGAAACCGCGACGTCGTCTCGACAAGAAGACATTATTGCGTGCTTCGAAAGAGGTCTTGAAGGAGATATCGCGGAAAATGCCGAGGAATCAAAGAGTGAACACGCTCGTTCTGACCGATGCTGATTTCGCCGCCGCGAGGACCAGGACCAGGGACGACGGAGACGACGATTTCTCAGAGTTCGAAGAAGAGGAGAAGGATCAGAGGGTCCGTAAGGAAGGGGTTCTCGTATCGGAATTGCCATTCAAGCCCAAGGCGGATATCGGCGACTTGGATAGGGTTACTGCGGAAGAGTTCTGTCCCCTGACCTTGGAGGACGAGGCTTCCTGCGGGGAAACCACCACGTGGCCGTGACTGTGCTTGATGAGCGCCGTCGCGGTGAATTTGCTAG